ATCAGGGGAGGAAAGGGCAATATTTCTGGGGACATTTCTTTCCTGGACAAAATATATTCTGCAAGTATATTCTCAGTTTCCTATGTGAACATAGGTAAGTTAGCATTGATGAATTTTTATTTCTCTTGATTTGTGACTATTGCATAGATTTTGAATGGGTGTTTTTTCCCCATGCACTGAGAAATCTTTTAACTTTACAAAAATGTAAAGAACCTTTATAACGGAAATCGATTGCCTGGCCAAAGTGTAGTGACAACCTTCACTTAGGTCAGCCACTTACGTGAGAAAAAATATATTTTGCCTGACTTTAAAAACTGAATCATCTGGCCATTTTCTTGGGATGCCTGGTAGGGCTGAGGTTCTAGAGGAAGACTGTATCTTCCATACCAACCCAAAATAGAGGCAAAACCAAGAAGCCCTTGTGGTACAGCTGGAGTTAGTTGGATAGTGCTTTCAGTCACTCAGTACTGACAACAGCCAGCTGGCTGGTTTTGTTCTCCCCCTCTGACTGTATTTTTTCATCACATTATCTGTACTCCAACTGTAGCAGTATTTGTTGTTTATTGTAGAGTCTTTGTGTCTGAAACCGATGAAAGGTCACCAGTGGTAGAGAATTTATTTCATTATTCACTAGTTAATTAGGAGGAATAGGTAGGGGGCTTACAAGAATTTGGTCTTAATGCTTTTGTGTCATTACTGTTGTCATGTTCTCCTTTCTGTCTTTACAATTCTACTTAACTCCACCAAAATCCTGCCGTTATCCTTTCAGTTACTATGAATGAAATATATAACTTTAAAGTTTATTTCCTGCTGTTGTCCTGCACAAAACAACATTAACAAATGATTTAATTCCTTTGATAAAAGCAATGTGGAAATAGTATGTTGCCAGCAATAAGTTCATGTGTAATGTTCATCAAGAAATCATAACTAGTAATCATAAATAAAAGTCACTGCACAAAACTGTAGATAAGGGAAGTGACTGTCAAATCTGTCCTCTGTAAATACATCTGCTAGCTGAAGTAATTAATGATGTTAAAAAATGAGCATTAGGTTTTCTTGTGTACCCCCGGTATTACATGGTTGTACATTAAGGTGATTATCTTGCTTTTGAAAGCCACCCCTAATAAAGCAATGTATTTAAAGATATATATCTATATTGCATTTACAAAATCAGAAAGGATGCCAGAAGCAGTCTTTTTTCTTGCAGATGTGAAGCAGGTAATCAGTCAGTCTTCTGTATTAGCTGTAGATGTGAGTTTTATATTAGTTTATTTTCTTTTTAAAGTACCATTTCATTCTTTGAACCAACAGAAAATGCGTTCTCCAAACCTTTACATTAAAAATCTTCTCTTAAATTAAAAGGAAGAAAAAATATTAAAGCAGTTTTTCAACACATATATTTTAAAAATTTTCAAAAGAATGAAGTTTCCTACGTACCGTGTATAGCTAAATATCTGAAACTTAGAAACCAGTTTATCTTACTCTTTACCTCAATGATTTTTGAGGAATGTCATGTATTTATCATGAGACGTTTGCTGGCAAAAGTCTGGGGAACAGCAGCATTAGTTTTGAATTTCCTGCTTCTTGACATTTAAATTATACCATTTGGACATTATTCAAAATCCCTTGACATAGCTACAGCAGGTCCCATCCACTGAAATGAGATAGATGAAAATTCAATGACAGAAGAAAAAGAACCTAAAAAGTTTGATTACAGTGATATGTAGCTGCTTCAGTCACTACAATGTCACCACAAGGTTATGAGGCATTTCCATTTTTAACAATCTTAATGGGTTCAGGTCCTGAAGTCCTTGTTAAATTACAGTCCAATTGATTTGTCAAATGTAGATCTAGCCTATATTTCTGAGACAGAGAAATAAATACATGGTAGTGTAATCTATCTTGGGATTTAAACTGGACGCTGCTAGTAATATCAGTGCTAATAATGTGAGCAATATAACACATAAGCATGTTCTCTGTGTGGTGTTTTTAAGTGTGACTCTGTCCCTGGCTGAAAGTTTCTGAAGCAGAATAAAAACTTGGCTACCCTTTACTCTTAATTATCAACCATGAATAGGTGCTCAATTAAAGCATATATATAAGAATCAAACAATCAACAAATAAATAAATCAATTAATAATTATAGTCTTGGTTTAAGGAGATTTTACAAGGAATTAATTGTAAATTTTCCTAAACCATACAAACTAAAGTTTTATAAACACTTTATTGTTTGTTATTGTTTTGATTTTTATGTATATGCATATATCCCCTACCACATAACTTTCTCTTATTTATAGAAAGCTGTCTACAGAGTGAGACTTCATACTTTCTCACTCTAAAGTGAGACTTCATACTTTCTTATCCTGTTTATTTCAGTTAGGCATTCTCAATCTGATAGTTTTACAATTGTTTGAACAAAAATGTTGAGGTTTATGTTTTCTTACAATTTATGGAAAAAAAATAATACCAACATATTAAATAAGTATAAATCATTTTTAAATACATATAAGAGTGTCCACAGAGGCAGAAAGGAGTGAGCTATTTGATTTTTTGCATTTTTTACTTCACATTTCATACTGTGAATGTGCAATAACTGTTAAATAAAAAAACAAGTCTTACTCTGAGACTGCTTTAGGCAATACAAAAAGCACTTTAAAATGCACAAGCACTTCTAGCCATGTTTATAACCCCCAATCTTTAACAACTTTAAACTGATCCTTTAAACTGATCATTAACAAAATATGCACTGAAAAAAGCACTTATACATGATAACAATCCAGTGAAGAAGCATAATGCATGAATGTTGTATAGTACAAATATTTATTTTTTTTTAATATGAAGTCATTAGCATTCTGAGAAATGACTGGACACTCTCAATTTTCAGAGAAGTGACAGTTGGAAGTTTCTCCATGAAATAATTGTTTCATTTGAGCAATGCTGTTTTTTTGTATTTGTTGTGTATTTTTACAGAGCTTTATATGTACTTATTTATTATTTATATATTTTTTAATTTTATTTTTGTAAACTACAGAGCTAAACTGCCTTAAAAATAAAATAACTAGCATGATAAAAGGAAAAGCAGTTTCGTACTACAGCTATGCTTTTAATATCTAGTTAAAGTACTGTCAGACCATTAGTGAAGCTAGAGTGCATCTTTACCACCCCATAAAAGCAAATCTCTTTACCTCAGAGCACCACTTAGTAATGTACATCTGGGAAAAAAAAAAAAAAAAAAAAAAAAAAAAAAAGGTCCTTATTCTCTTCTGCTTTATCAAAAGATTGTCATCTTAAGAGTAGAGAATTGAACAATAAATTATGATGTTTTTAAGATTTCTTTATTCCTCATTTGAAATATACCTGCCTACCTACCTTGAGAATTCTTTTTCAGATAGAAAATATTATAGCTAAAATAATCTTTTAAGCAGTTACTTTCCAATCATTGAAGATCAAATTATATATATGCATATATAAATATATATATGTATATACATATCCTTATCTTATATCCTTATATCCTTATGTCCTTATATATATCTATATCTTTTGTTTTGGATTGCTTTCATGGAGACATGAATAAATGTCTTCAAGCTAAGAAGAGCAAGAAGTAGATGTTAGAGTCACCACTGGAACTTAGGTATGGCACTGTCACATCAAATAATGGACACAGAAATGCCCACAGTAATTCACAAACAAGCATTTCATCTGATAATGCAGAAGAAGCAAGGGATTCACAGAAGCCAATGTGCTGAAGGAAAGACATCCCTGAATAACTGCTGATGAGAGGGATTGTGGTTTACCTTTGTATGTTTGGAGGACTTAGATGTCTAACTCTGCACTGGACATAGCTGTTTATTTTGTGTTTTTCAACCCTTAACTTCTCCTGAGTTAGAACCATAAGTCTTACAGCAACAACTTTATTTCTACCACCGTACCTATTGCTACAGTACTTCATAATTCTTTCCTGTAGTATAACCTTTCTTATATTATTACTTGGACCAACATTTATGCTGCAAAAAATGATCTGGAAAATACAAACTTCCTAAAGAAAAGAAACTTGGAATTATTTAATTTATAACTATTTCTATTCCACCGAGATACTGATTTTGTATATCACAGAGATCAAATGGAGATTTTAGCTTTTATAGCTAAAAAAAAAAAAAAAAAAAAGTTTTTTGAGCTTTCTGAGTCTAGATTTCAGAACATTAATTCTTTTTTTCGTTAAAAAGTTGTTTTTTTCAAATTTCTTTAAATATATTACACAGATAGAAATCTCTGATCATCACTTTTTTTGTTTGTTTTTGTTTTTATATTTGACTAAATGTGATTTTGTTTTATTTTTTTTTATTATTATTATTATTCCCAATAAATACCTATGATTTAATTTTGTTCCATACGGCTCTGAGGACTTCATTGATATGTAGTTTTCATATATGTAAGAATATTTGGCATTAACAGATGCACAATAAAGAGAAGTCCAATTTACCTTATTCATGAACAACAACAACAAAAAAGCATTAGTTCAGCACCCAAGCACTCTATTTTCATAAAATTTGCAACGTTTCAGAAGTGTTTTGCTGAAGACATGTGTTAATAATAGATTACATAAAGCTTCTTAGATATTTAAACCATAATCATTATTATTAAAAACAAACAAAACAAATAAACAAAACAAACAAACAAACGAAAAGAGCAGTTGTTATTTGGTTAATTAAATCAAGACTAAAAGGCCTAAAATGCAAGTAAAAGTGACATTGTACAGTGGTATAAGTTTTTACAAGTGGGTGTAGCCACATATGAATGAAAAATATCTCTTGCAGAAACAGGGATACTCCAACTGAAATTGGATCTCAGAAATTAAAGACCTATTCAGCATTTACTTTTAAAGCAGCACTCTGTACACAATGGCCTTGCTCCAACATGTCAGTTGGTATATGTCTGTCTTTCACCATGTGATGTGATGCTTTTCTTATAGTTATAAATGCTGAACTGTTAGTGCTGGACTAGTAAAGGTCACTAGAATCATCTGGACAAATCTAAAGATTTAAACTTGTACTTACTAGAAAAGTTTGGCTATTATGTCCTTTAATAAATCTCTCCTATAATAAATGAAAATTTAAAAGTTTAAAAAGCCCTATAGGACCTTTGTGCTGAAAAGCCTGCTTCCAGAACACGCTGCATTGCAAGTAATTGCTAGGATTTTAGTAGTGTCCGGTGGATGTTGTCACTGGACACTTTATAACATTGTCTGCTGATGTATTCCTGAGTGTGGTAGATCAGAATCAAGTCTGTTTCCAAGAGATGTGTCAGTGTCCTGTGCTTATTTAGTGAGCTATGCCTACAGCACATTTAAACCTATCTTTAACATTGACATTCAATTAGCAATGGATAGTTTGTCTCCTGATGACCTTCCTTTTAAAGACATTTTTTACTTCAGCATATTACTGCCTTTTGTCATTTTTTGTTTGTTCATTTTTTAAGTACTTCTTGCTATGAGCTTTGGCACTTCTCACATCCCAAGACATTACAAATAACCATAAGCATATGGATAGTAGGGGCTAAAGGCTGAAAAGTATTATCATACAAGAGCCTGCATTCCTCTGCTCAGCCATTAACAAGAATTAATTAAATTTTAAGAAAACAACAACAACAAAAAAGAATAAAATGTGGAGCTGAACATTTTTATTCTTCCATTCTTCCAGGCATGCAACATTTTTGTATAACATCACCTTACTACAGTAGTATTTTCAAGCATTTAACCATTTGGAATTATGAGAATATCTTCACTCCTAGCAAAATAAAATCAACCAGTAGTATGAAATGAAATTGATGGCTTTTTTAAAAAGAATATTTCAAATGGCTTCTACAAGGAGGCCTAAGCATTTATTTTCATTTTACAAATAGCAAGCACTTTGGGTTCTAATTATTCACAATTATTATAAAGGCTTTCTAAAATAAGACATAATAGTTTAGACTAGCAGTTTAAAGAGCTGCTTGATACATTGAAATGAGAAGTGAGAGTATGAAAAATACATTTCATTACTTCCTGCTGCCTTAGCATCTTGGGGCACTATGTTTCCAGGGAGAAATACTGCAAATAAAGTAACCCGTGGAGCAATTTTATGGTGGACGTTTTCCCCTGGAGAATATAGCAATTTTGACAACAACTTCCACATATATGCATGCTGTACTGCACCACATTTGAATGTCATTTAGGGAAGGAAGTGAAGAACTACAAGAAAGGGCTGAGTCTCAGTGGATGTTAAGGAATCAGAGTGCAGAAGAGGAAGCAATTATTTACTTGCAGTAAGTGGGGAGTGCAATCCGCATTGGACAGATTGGATTCCTGTGCTCATGGGTGACCAATAAGGAATTTCTGTTAAGATGCTGCCACAATTACAGCTCTGTCTCATTTGAACCATAATAAAGTTGGAGACTGAAGGACATAAGATGTATTTAAAAAAAAAAAAAAAAGGTATCTTTGGGTCTCCAGCATTCTCCTGGATATTGCAGGGAATAGACAAAAATAAAAATTGATGTTTCTGCTTTGTTCAGGGACATCAGTTGCTTTCTTAGCGGTACAGAATTACTTACTTCATGGGTTTCAGGACTAAATTTTCACACAGAGTAGCTGTTTTTTCCCCAAGAAACAACTCTGCAATCCTTGCTGCCTATTCTGGGGGTAATCATAGCAGCTCTGGGGATATGTTATCACTCCTTGCCACATTGTCTTGAATTACAGCAAGTTCAATAAATTACAACCTTTTTTTCTCTCTATGTTTCAGTCTATGGTGATACCAGCAACCAGCAAGTCCCACAGGTAGGAGAAAACCCAACTGTGATGTTTTTAATGCTGCCTCTTACCATAATAATGATGTTGTCATTCTAGCTTCCTGCTTGGGCTTCTATTGCTGCTCCTAGTGTCTCCATCTCTTTGCAAGATGTGGAAACATACTGCAAAGAAATCATGTCAACTTTTATTTGAATCTCATAAATTCAATTAAAAGCTATTTTTGTACACTGTAAACAGAATATTTACAAACCCTGTTAAACCTAATCCTAAAGCCTGATAAAGAAATTTGTTCTGATATTACCATTTTCTTTTCATAATTTTCTCTTTGTATAAAGGACTTTCAAGCATAGGCTTGAACGAGGGTTGGGACTATAGCTTGCCTTCTAGGTATATTTGGTACACTTTCTCTGTTGCTTGAAGACATTATGAGGCAAACTATATTTCATTAAGTGTCTGTACATGAAGTTTTTGTTATCTCCAGCTAGTCCAAAATTGTCACTGTGCTGGAAAAAAAAAAAAAAAATTAAAAAAAAAAATGCTTCAATAATTCAGGCCCATTTCGGAGCTCTCTTCCTCATGTCTTTCAGAAGATAAATTTTAAACAAGGGACCAAACCCAAAGGAAACACTGCAAAGAAAATACTTGATAAAAATTTTGTTTCTGGAAACCTGGAGTAAATGCAAAATGCAAAATGATTTCTTCTGTTGGATGAGGTCACTTTGGGCTCACAGCTTGGAAATAAAACTTAGAAGAGAGTCTGGGAGTGTGATCAAGGTGACAGATGACCCTAAAACCATGATGACAGAGCACATCAAAAACATTAAGCAGAACAGATATGAGAACAATACTATTAATTTGAAACAAAACTTGTAGAAACCAACTACATAGCAGTGGGAGCAATATGAATAATGACTGTTTCCAAGCCTAATTGATTTTTAAAAGCTAAAATTTGGCACCAGATTTAAGTACAAGAGACAAAAAGCAACAATTCTGATATTTTACTGCATAATTTTCTGCCTCCAAAATTTATTATTTTGTATATGAACTATGGAAATAATATGTGGCAAATAAAATATAAAAATAGTGTCTTTGACTCCCAGCTTTGTAATCTGTTCTTTGTAGATTTTAAACAGTAATCTTTCTTATGGAGTTTGTATATATATTTGTCTGCAAATGAGCAGAAGGTGGCAAACTTTACATTGTTTTTTAGTCATATCTGGAATCAGAACCACATAATGTTGTACTTCTGATCTAATCTAATTTCAGACCTCCCTAGTTTAAGGATTTTAACAGCGTTGGTATATATTCTGAAATAAAATGGGACACAGACTGACGTTTGTAGCTCTTGCCTCTTCTATTTGTAAGATTAAATTACTAGCAGAAGATTTTGACAGTGACTTAGACACTTTTGGAGCCCTTCTAGGAAATTACTTGTCATTACTATCTGTTCCACTTATGGCCCAAAGTTATCTAGGTTAGCTATTGAATATGATTCCAATATGAATATTTTAGGCAATTGCAAAAGGGTGTAGTACAAACTAATTAGTACAAACTAATGCTAAACACATTTCTTTAGTTAATGTTTATTTATTGACTGTATTTTTCTCTATTATACATTTTTTACTTTTTACAAGTACAATCATGGGTGCATATAACTGCAAATAATCTATGCAAAAATTGCTTTTAGAAATAAGGAAAATATATGAGAAATCTTTGGGGATGGCTACAGAAGATGAAAGATAGGAGTACCTGAGAGGAAATATGCAGTAAATATTTGTATGTAGTTATGCCTATGTATAGATTTTATTGTTGCTAATCTGAGTGATTGTGTTTTTAAGACCAAACTTCTGCTGCTGTGACAAATAAAGCTTTGTACGGGCTTGTTGAATGCATTTTAAGATATCCACAATTAAAACAACTGACAAAACAAACTGGGCTGTGGCAATTCCCCACCATTTGCACTTCAGTCTTACTTAAACAAAAGAACTCTTCATCTTCTTCATTCTTCATCTTGCTCTTTTTTTTTTTTTTTTTTTTTCCACAGACAGTACTGTGAATAACCCTTTTTCATACCCATGGGAAAATTTTATTTTGTCCTATGATTTCTGACAATTATTCTTCCTGTAACTATTTTTGGTTGCTTGGTTATTCTTTGTAAGAGGTAGTGAAAATCCCAGTGATTTATGACAATTGTGAATTCACCTTTCTGAGTCTGACTTCGAAGACTCACTTCGAAGATTCTCAAAATTGTCTTACATTTGGTTAACTTTTAAATTTGCCTTTTTCTTTTTTCTCCTAGAAATTTTATTTCTTTTCACTAAATTACTATAACTCTGCCCTGCAAGGATGGGAAGCTTAGACATAAGGTGAGCATAAAGGCTTTTCAGAAATGATAGATTTTATTGTAGACAGAATTAGTTCAGTAATGGAGCACACATATTCTGGGTCAACTACCAGACTGAAATGTAAGCTCCCAAGAATCTTAACTTTTCTTAAATTAAATTGGTGCTATTAAGAGAACTCTCCAGAAAGAAGTGTATACCATAGACTTTTATGGAGCAGAGACCAAGAAAAACATTAAACTATTTTATTACCTTTATTTATATGTTTATAGCAACAGTTTGGCTTTCTTCCTATGCTGTAACAGGACCTCAGTCTCCTGATCACCCATACTTTGTGAACAGCTTCCTGTTGCTGTCGTTTCCATGAGTTCTCATTAGGTTTTGCTCCAGAGATACAGTATGGATAAACAGAGTAAAATTGTTCAGGCCTCTTCCACCTGGGGAAGTCTTCTAGCACTAAGTTCAACAAACCTCCACATTCATACGTCCCCCACAGCTTCCCTTGCGACACACACATTATGTGACTTTAAACTGAAAAAGAAAAATCTCCACTCATAGAAAACACGGTGTCCAAGAGCTAGAAGGGCACCGGACAGGACCCACAGGATACATAGAACAAGAATCATGAATTCTTCCAGTTCTCCTGAACCCACATGAACACAGGCTAGTTGGCCCAAGGACTGTGGTTCTCCCTCAACCACATTACCAAAGGATAATCACAGCATATTGCAATTCACATTGAAAATGAATTACAGTAACCTAGGGAAGTGCTTTTCAGCTTGGGGCCTCTTCAACAGTCATGGATCATAGATATCTGGCTGTCTAAAGTATACTACCAATCCTATGTGTTTACTGATACTAAATCAGATTAAAAAAATTAAAGGAAACACAAGTTTAGCTGAAATTACATGTAATACTTACAATGCAAGCATTTTGCATGGGTGTTATGTACTTGTGATAGGGAGAAATTATGTGACTGAAATAAGAAGGCTATTATTCTGCAGTTTGACATTTAACTGGGTGAGGAAGAGTCACAGGAGTTAAATATTTTTCTTTAAAGTTGAAGTTCAAATGATGAATCCCTGTTTAAACACTGACATAGTCAAGTCCATAACTGCTAAATGGCCAAGCTGAATGCATGCAGCAAACATGCTTGTTCATTGAGGATGGACACAACACAGTTTGATGTACCACTCAATAGACATTCCATCAGACTGTTCCTGGGAGACAGATGCATATTCAGACAGAGGCAGTCAACCCCCTGCTCTCACCCCCCAAAACTGGGACATCTGGACAGAGTGTTTTGTTTTGGAAAAGAAAATGCATTGAACATGACTGGCATCAGTTTAGAGAATGTGACTGAGTGAAGCACTGCCTGAGCTTTTTGTTTTTGAGATGAAAAGATGTAGTACAAAAATGAACATGCAATTTCTCAGTCAGTATCAAATAAAGAGCCTTCAGATGTCTCCAGGGAATAGAAATATATTAGTTCTCTATACATTTTGCAGCAGATTTGGATAACTAGAACATATTCAGAACACAACTGTCATTGATGTGTTCTCGCATTGAAGAGTAAACGGTATTTACATCCGCATCTTTAGATGACTGAATGCCAGAGAGTGCTGTGAGAAAAAAGAGTGAGTAAATAATAGTGTAATAATGTAACCTAGAGACATTAAAAAAAATAAATAAATAAAATCATATGTGCATTTCCTACCACAGGTATAAAGGATATCTATTTAATGTAGTGCTATTACAGAGAGATTGTATGTAGCCTAAGTTATATACAATATAGATTAAGAAGCAGTAAAATTTTTTGATTTTTTTCTATAAAAGGAAGCCATTTCCATAAAAAAGTTTTACTAACATTTTGCACAGAACAATCTTAATAGAGATACATATGCGAATATGTTTGTGGTTCAGTATAAGATGTGGATAAGTATTTTTCATGATGGGCAACCTGACTGTTTTTCTTTGCAGTAGTAGAAGAATGACTGGAAAAAAAAATGATGCAGGGACTCAGCTGGGCTCTTTTACAAATATAGTTCATTTATATAAAAGCAGAGCTAACTAGGAAGAAGAAAAACAAAACAAAACAAGAAAAACATCAAAGGAAATCTTTGTTGAAGTAGCATAGAGAAACAGCCCACCAGTCCTTCGGTTTATTACACTGATACAACTCTTCCAAAAATCTATGGGGTTCTACCAATTTAACTTAGACAAAAAATGCCATACATTATAAACAAAATCTACTTAGATTTTGGCAGATCCTAGGGGGAGAAAATTCCCTGTAGATTTTTATTATTCTCAGTAATGAATTGTCAGATTTTTATTGTCTATAAAGAATAAAAATAACCAACAATAGTGTTTTAAAAGTCTCATATGGATACTAACAGAACGGAAATCTCACAGAGTAACAGAAAAAAAACAACATTGCAGCTGCTGTCTGTATCGGGCTTTCTACAGGACAGCTTGTGCAATAAGCCTATAACAGATAATGAAAGCAGTATTTAGCAAATAAAAATACATTATGAAATTAGGCACTTAAATAATTTATTTCATATTAAAATACAAATTAAGAGTAAATATTTTTTTTTCAAAATCCTCAAAAATCTGCATCCAAAACTTGTATTTCTATGTGTAGATAGATAGATACCTATTACAAAATTACTTTAATTAGAAGGCAAGATTTACCAGAAGAAAACATTTGGAATAATGTCAGAAAACATTAAAAATGGTGGTTTAATTATTCCCATTTCTGGAATGAAAAAAAATCAGAGGTGTAAAAATGTCATACTTTTTTTAGAGACTGAACCAAG